CAATCATATGACCAATATGGAGCAGATTTTTCGAAATTTAGACACAAATGTGAAGGCCACGGTGAAAATTGGAAGCGGAGAAGTCCTACCAGCCAAAGGTAAGGGTACCATTGCTATCCAAACAAAGAAAGGTACAAGATATATTGATGAAGTACTTTTAGTGCCTGGCTTGGATTCAAATTTACTAAGTGTGGGTCAAATGCTTGAAAAGAAATATGCTGTGCATTTTCGAGATATAAAATGCAAAATCTATGATCCTCATGATGTTGAAATTGCTAGTTTGCCTATGCATAATAGAAGTTTTAGCATTCAATGGCATAGCTTACTTGCAAATATGTCTAGAGTTGATGTGGATGAATCTGATTTGTGGCATAGAAGATATGGTCATTATAATTACAAGTCTTTGTCATATGTGCATTCTCATGGCATGGTGAGAGATTTGCCTAAAATTCATGAATCTGGAGGAGTATGTGAGAGCTGTAGTTTGAGGAAAATGCATAGAGAGTCATTTTCTAATGATGGTGCATGGAGGGCATCTGGAAAATTGCAGCTTGTGCATACTGATATTTGTGGTCCCATGAAAACTCCATCCTTGAGTCATAATTTGTATTTTGTGCTATTCATTGATGACTTTACAAGAATGTGTTGGGTGTACTTCATGAGAAACAAGTCAGATGTGTTCAATGTGTTCAAAAAATTCAAGAATATGGTAGAGGCACAATCTGGATGTAAAATTCAGACCTTGAGATCGGATAATGGCAAGGAGTATACATCTACCAACTTCAATCAATTCTGTGAGGATTATGGAGTTCATCGGCAGCTTACCATTCCCTACACTCCGCAACAAAATGGAGTGGCAGAAAGGAAAAATAGATCTGTCATGGAGATGGCCAGATGTATGCTAGCTGAGAAGGGACTTCCAAATTCGTTTTGGGCAGAAGCAGTTTATACTTCCGTTTATTTGCAAAATAGGTTGTCTACAAAAACTGTGAAAAATATGACACCTATTGAGGCATGGTGTGGAATGAAACCTACAGCCAAGCATCTGAAAGTTTTTGGGTCTTTGTGCTATGTTCATGTCCCAGATCAGAAAAGAAGCAAGTTGGAGCAAAAGGCTGTGAAGGGGATCTTTATTGGCTATAGTTCACAGACAAAGGGCTATAAAATCTATCTTCCAGAAACTGGAAAAGTTGTGATATCCCGTGATGTAAAATTTGATGAAAGTTCTAAGTGGAATTTTAATGAAACCAATACACAGCAACAGGTAGCAGTTTTTCGTCCTATCCCAGTGGAAACTTCAACTCCAACACCAGAAGTTCAGTCTTCCGAGATAGAATCTATCGCACCTACTGCAGAAAGATGTTACAAAAGTGTGAAAAATGAAGAAAACTTCACCTCCTAACGAAAGAGATCTATTAGACCTTACTTGATTTCTTATCCTGGTAAAATTTAGCATTTGAGCAACCACTTTCTCAATGCTAATAAAATGAATAATTCAGGAATTAGAAGTATTTGACATCAGGTTTCCACTGAATCTCCTCCTGCACTGGGGATTGAATTCTATATAAAATCTGAGAATCAATCCATTAAATAGTAAAAGATTTATAAAGGCGACAATTGACCAGATATTTTTCAAAAAAGGTAGAGATTTTAACTTAAATAATGAATGACATTATTAAAAATTGCAAAAGAAAAAACACTTGTACCTACAAAATAAGAAACTAAGAAGAATCCGTGAGAGAAAGTATTGTATTGCAGTGAAAGTTTTTTGGTAAAGAACAAATTTTGTATATTTTTTGAATAAAGCTCCAAGTACAAGAAAAATTTAATAGAATGTGTACCGATACTAACTTGATAAAATGTGATTGAACACTTTTTCTCTTTCTTTCCCATCTTCCAATGATGCTGGCCGTAAGGATTTTCTTTCTGTCAAAAAAATTTTGTACTTATGTAGCATGTTTGATATCACTAATGCTGGAACAGGGCTTGTACAGGCTAGTATTAATAGAAGGTGGGTGGGTGGGAGTGGGTGATTATATTAAAAAAAAAAAAATTCACTCACTCCCATTCGTTTGTGCCCTGAAATAGGGTCTATACAGCCAGCACAACTCTTTTGATATTTTTCAGTGTTGTGTTCATGTAATTGAACAATAAGAACTGACAAGTAAAAGGGACCAATGAAAAAGGACAATTGTTTGCCCCCAACTTTTTCTCCTTTTTCCACTCTCTTTTCTTTCCCTTTTTCATAGTTTCTTTACTAACCAACCTTGCCTTCTCTTTCTTGTCTAGTTAGGACATTGACTACTTTGTTTATTTTTCAAAATTTTCGCTATCTAGTATCTGCTATCAACTATGTTACCATTGGAAGGTGTCACGAAGTTAGAAGTTTGTGTCGACAAAGGAGAATGGTTGATGGTTTGTCATTGATAAATACGTGTAAGATATTGTTTTAATAGAGTAATTGTAGGGTGTATATATACTATATTTATAGACAGGTGGACGGTCCTTATAGTTGAGTGTTTGTGTAGCTAAATTTGAAAGCTCCTTAAGACGAGGTTTTTTGGACAGTAATATAATTTCTATTTTAGTTAGTGAACTTGATTATAGTCTTGTTCTAAATTGCTGATCTATGTGGGCTTAGACGTGATTTCATAGAAGGGCGCTCTGTATATAAAGAAGATATAGAAAAAGGCGATCAACTCTATTTTATTCGCCTAGTGAGGGCCTAGGCTCCAAAAGACTCACTTTTTTTCTAATTTTATTATATATACATATTATCACGTCTAACAGCTTTTAAAATTTTGGTTTGTTTGAAACTGATTTTTTCAAAATTAATTTTTTTAAATATAAATTAATATTTAACATATTACTTGAAATTTTACGTTTACGTTTGTGTCTTTCACTTATACGTAAATTTTATAATTAGAAATTAATTTTGTACCTTATAAGTAACTTTTATATTTTCTAAGTGAACTTTTGTCATAATAGTAGTATTTTTACTTTAAAAATAAATTTTTACACAAAAGTAATTTTTTATCTTATTTTTTACTTATATAATTTTTTATCTTATTTTTTACTTATATATATAAAAAATTACTTATAAGTAAGTAAAATATATCTTATGAGGAATAAAATTCCACACAAAAATTGAAAATTGAAAATTTCACTAAAGGGCATACATATAATTTTATTCTTTTAAAAAACTTTTTGAACTGATGAATAATAAACTCTCATGGATTGAACAGTTTTATCAACCGCTATCAAAATTACTTAAAAATCGATTTGCTCGTAAATGCTCAAAATCAGTACTTTAAGAAATGCTCACAACTTGTATACCAAAACTCCCAAGTAGGCCCCTAATGTTGTATGTGATGCAATTATAAAGACAAACTCTAATAGATGTCAATAATCGAGGTCTATGATTTTTCTTTGAAGTGGGAAGATAACATAAACAAATATTGAAGAGAAATTATTCACAAAAATTGAACAGAAAATACAAGCACACTAATATGGTATATATCAAGTTTCTTAAGACATGGAAATAATAAAAGCTATGGCTTTTTAAATTTTAGGTGTGAGTTTGAATTAATTTTAAACCTTCAAAAAATGTCCAAATAGTCAAAATTGGTGAAGAGCCGCAACGTGCCCGAAGGCAATGTGTGTGAAATCATGTCGTGAGTACTTACTACATTAAGTACTGCTTGCGGCTTCAAGAGATGCAACATGTCCAAAGGTTACACCGTGTGCATGGATTCATGTAATGAGCGCTCGCTACGTTAAGTGCCTGAACGCAACTCCAAGATATGTCATACGTGTGAAGTCGTGCAATAAGCAGTGAGTGCTCATGAGACTTATATCCTTACACTTAAATCCAACTACTTAACGGATAACTAATATTAGTCACATTTTTATTTTAAGTTAATATGGCTTTAATTTATTGTGGTATGTCATTGGTTATGAGCATTAACATATTCAGCACATGAACAGTCACTTTTTATGTGTTTCTAAATGCCCTTTACAATTATTAATAATAAACACTTTGGACTGTTTGCTATTACTCGAAATCATATGCTAATTCAAAAATAGTAACCATTAAATAAGATATTTCTACTAAAAAAAATTGAAGATTCATGAAAACAAATGGCTCGTAAAAATCACTAAAGACAACAGTAAAAAATTCAAGGCAAGCAGAAATAAGTTTACGATTTCTTAGATAAGAGAAATTAAACGAAATTAATCAGGTTTAACGAGAAAAATTCAACATCAATCACTTTTCAATCACATATTTTCAAAATAAAATATTTTGTACATAAACTTAATTTTTTTCTACCTTTTAGTTACACGTTCTCCAAAAACTCATTATTTTCAAACTAATTTTTCTACTTTTAATGATAGACAAGGGTAATTATTTGAAGGAAGAAACTTAAGGGGCGTTTGTTTCTCATTTTTGTAAGAATGAGAATGAAAAATATAGTCGTTATGGGTCCCACACAAAATATAAGAATTCAAATTTGGTGGTTTAATGGGATGGATAACGGTCATATTTTTCATTTTAATGAGAAAAAATCGAAAACAAACATGGACTTAAATTTTTTTCTACTTTTTAGTTAGACATTCTCCAAAAACTCATTATTTTCAAACTAATTTTTCGACTTTAATGATAGACAAAACGAGGGTAATTATTTGAATGGAGGCTCCAAATATGACCGTTGCATGTACACTGAAACTGAGCTCATGCACTCTCAATTTCACTTTTCTTCCACTGCTTTTGAGGCCGTCGATCCAAAATGGCCCCACAGAATCTCATTGCTCGAGTCATAAATTCTACACAAATTCAAAAATTCAAATTTCAAAATGCCAATAAAGAGAGAGAGGCTGCGACACAGTACCACTTTTCTCTCTTCCAAGCCTCAGAAAATCACAGCACAAGAACAGAATCATCGGACCCTTCAAACTCCACTCCCCAATGCCGTTTTGTCCAATACCTTTTATTACCTTTACCTGTCCACCAGAATGACTAATTAATAAATGATGAAAGAGAGCCTAGTTGTCGACAAATTCAGTTTGAGTTAAGACAAACTTGGGTTAGGACAAATTTAAGGGAAACAATTCTCATTTGTTGAATAAAGAACTTTCACTTTTTTAACCTATAAAATTCATTTTACATCAGATTCTTGAAAACCAATTCGAATTTTCTGTGGCTCTTTGTTTGAACAAACAGTACCCAGTTTGTTTAAAAGAAAAGTCTTCACTTTTTTAGTCGTTAAAACAATTTATCTCAGTTTCTAGTTTTTTCTTGAATTTTTCAGTTCGCTTTAATCTTGGATTCTTGAGGGTTCTAGAAATCAATTTCTAACTTTTTCTTTAAATTCCATTAGCGTTAATCAGGAATTCTTGAGGGATTTATTGCCTAAAGAAGGAAAACAAAAAGGTTGAAAATGAGAGAAGAAAATTCGTCTGATAACAGAGTGAAATCATCAAAATTTGCTGATCAAAACCAGGTTCCAAAGGGAAATAACAGCATTGTGAAGGGGAACAGCAATTCCTCAAAGACAAAATCCTCATGGGGGTCTCACATTGTGAAGGGGTTCACTGCTGCGGAGAAGAAAACGAAAAACAAGGTGCAAACCACAACACAAGGCCAGAAATTGCAACTCGCAGGCTCTGCAGGCGTTGGAAATCAAAAGAACCAATCTGCGGCTTCGCAATCAAGAATCAAGAGGTCTCTCATTGGTGATCTATCTTGTTCAATATATGCTACACAAATTCATCCACATACAGTGAATGGCAACACCAAGACTAAGTCTTTGGGTGGTTCTCAAGATTTGTTTCTGGAGATCGATCATTTGAGGAGCTTACTCCAAGATTCGAAGGATAGAGAGTCCAAATTGCAAGCTGAGTTATCAGAGTACACAAGAAACCCCAAGGTTTTGGAACTTGAGATAGAGCTTGAACTTAAAAAGAGTGAAATTGATGGCCTTGTTCGGAAAGTTGGATTGCTTGAATGTGAGAGGGACAGTCTTTCTGAACAATTGATGACTTTGAATTCAGTTTCTGAGAAGCAGGATGAGTTATCCGGAAGAGAAGAACACGAGAATTCACGTGGAATAGAGATGGAGATTGTCGAGTTGAGGCGCTTGAATAAGGAGCTGCAGCTTCAGAAGAGGAATCTTACTTGCAGGATTTCTTCCTTGGAATCCCAATTAGCCAATCTTGCCAAAGTCTCTGAGGTATCATCATTGCAACTTTTATTACAAATTGCAGGCTGATTATTGATTTTCCGTGTTCATCTTTTATCTTTAACCTTAGCACGGGAAATGGATAATTTCAATACATTTCTTTTTGTATTAATCTTCACATTATAGTCCTTATTTCTGCATAATTTAGCTCCCATTATATAGATTACGAAGTTGGACAGTCTTATAAACCAACTGGGCACTCAACCATTAACATGTTTCCTTCTGCTTAAGAACATGCTTTTTCGGCTTTTTTGGAGAGTACAGGTGCTTTGAAGAGGATGTGCTCTATATATTTCTCTAATAATATTATCATATTCCTATACTGTTCCAGTATTTTCCCATCAAATTCACAAGACTGGTGTCATTTAATGGTTACGATGGCCAGGAAACTCTAACTTTGATTTCTTGAGTTGGTTTTACTATCGTTAACATTCCGTTTTAAATTCATCAATGACAGAGTGACATCGTTGAGAAAATTAAATCAGAGGCATCTGTGTTGAGACATGCGAATGAGGATCTCTGCAAACAAGTAGAGGGCCTTCAAATGAATCGATTGAATGAGGTTGAAGAGCTTGTTTATTTGAGGTGGGTTAACTCATGTTTAAGAAATGAGTTGAACAATTCCTTGACAGTGAATTCGAACAAAGCTTCAACCCCCGTTTCTGTTGAGAAAGGAAGACAATCCATTTGCTTCTCATCTTTTCAGACTAATGAAGAGTCTAACAATAGTGCTACGAAGACGTTAAATCTTATAAAGAAGTTAAAGAAATGGCCAATTACAGATGAAGACATACAACAATTAGAATGCACAGAGAATTATGCGAATCGTAATTGGGATGATTTACAGAATTCTGCACGAAGGCACTCTATAAGCGGATCAAAATGCTGTCATGAAGATTTAATTCTTGCTAAGAGAAGGCAATCTGATGGTTTTATATGTTCCAAGGAAGCAGAAAATGCAGATGCTTCCCAAAAGTATGATCTGGGTGTAATTAACAGTAAAGTGTTAGCTTCATTGGAGGTTGAGAAACGGACATTAAGAGTCCCTAATCCTCCTCCAAGACCTTCTTGCACAAGTTTATGCGGACGGAAGGAAGAAATTTCTATACACTCTGTTCCTCTCCCACCCCCTCCCCCACCCCCACCGATAGGTGAAATTGAGACCCGATCATCGCATTTGATTGCTGTAAGTGCTTGATTGCCATTATCCTTTTAACAATGAAATTATATTACAAGTAGCATAAATTCAAAATAGCAATTGTAAATTTGTTCTATATCATCGCACCCCGCTGTCTGCTTGTCACAACGGATCCTGTTTTTTGTACCAGCCAAGTTTAATCTATATTGTGTTCTATGGGTAGATTAAGGCGGATGTTGAGACTCAAGGAGAATTTGTGAACTTCCTGATACAAGAAGTCAATGATGCAGTTTATCAGAATATCGAAGATGTTGTTGAATTTGTGAAGTGGCTGGACGATGAACTCTGCTTTCTTGTAAGTTGCTTACTTTCAAGTACTTGTCGAATAATATACCTTTATGCGTCAATATTTTATTAAGGTAAATGTTTAATTGATTTTCGCTCTGTTATGGTTTTCTAGTTTCCTATTTAAGTTTTAGACAACATTCTTTGGAAAACCCATGGCTGCTTATACAACTCAAGACTTTCGTAACATAATGACAATTCAATGCTGAAACTTATTTAGAAGCTTCATTTATTGTGTCCGTCTATTTAATTTCATCTTGAAGGTGGATGAAAGAGCAGTTTTGAAGCACTTCAATTGGCCAGAGAAGAAAGCTGACACATTAAGAGAGGCAGCATTTGGATATAGAGATCTAAAGAAGTTAGAGCAAGAAGTTTCGAATTTTCAGGATGATTCTCGTATGCTATGTGATATTGCATTAAAGAAAATGGTATCTTTGTCCGAGAGGTAAGAATAATATATACTTCTCTGAGATTCCATAGTATGTACTATTTCTTATTGTTCAAAGAAATCATTTCCTCCATCAGAATGGAACGCACGGTTTATAATATTCTACGGACAAGGGACTCATTAATGAGACACTGCAAGGAGTTCCAAATTCCCACTGACTGGATGCTTGACACGGGGATATTAAGCAAGGTTAGGCTGTTGTGTTTTTTTATACTCGTGATTTAAATTTTAACACTGAACTTATCCTTCATTCTTTTCATATATAATGGATATTTATAATTGAGAATACTTCGTAATTATGTTTGGTAAGTTCTGAGTAAACGGTATGTCTAAATTCACCATTCCATTTTGCAGATAAAGTTTGGCTCCGTGAAACTGGCTAAGATGTACATGAAGAGAGTGGCTACCGAACTTCAATCCAAGGGCACATCGGATAAAGACTCTTCCATGGATTATATGCTACTCCAAGGAGTGAGATATGCTTTCCGAATTCATCAGGTTTGTTGAGTTACTTATACTTATCTTCTCCTATATTTAAGATATATTCGGACTAAATGTGTTCATTAGCAGTTCCTCAAATGTAAGTTCAAGAATGTACATAAAAAGATGCTGTCCAATATGGTTAAGGAAAATGAATAAAGGCTTCGTGTCTGATCACAATAATGAACTAGATTTTAGCTTATTTCATTTTTAGTCGTCTCATTTCTACAGTGTTCAATTTTATCTAATCCATTCTATCGAACATGCAACATCAGAATTTCAACATGGTTTTCTGAAGAAGTTGAATTCATCTTTTTAATCTCTACCTCGATTTGTTCAGTTTGCTGGAGGCTTTGATGCAGAAACAATGCATGCATTCGAGGAGCTTCGAGATCTTGCTGTCGTTTTAAACAAAAAGTAGAGAAAAAGAGAGGGAAACGGTACTAGTGGGGAAAAAAAATAGTAAATGTATGTTGTCTGGTGGGGAATTCTGATTTTGATGGCAGCTTACCATCTCAGTAAGTACCAACTTTAGTATGATGTTACTATTTATAAGGTCAGAGTGATTAATGTTGTGATGAAGTGTGAATTATGAATTTCTTTTTTGAGATAACTGGTCGAAAATTATCACGAATATCGAAAGTTATCGTGAATATGCATGTTGTTCATGAATATCAAAGTTTACACACTTACACCAACGTAAGACAATCTTGGAGCTTGGTGAACATTGTTTGATGTCCTTAATGTACCCCCGTTTGCATTAATTCGCGGTGATCAAATGTCTATGTACGAATGCGTACTTGTGACACATTTGATGGTGCTGGGTGGTTAAGGAAAATTGGTAAGAAATTTAGGAGTAAAGGTACGGTAGGGAGGCTCTAGGGAGATGGTAGAGGTTAGTAGGAAAATGGGTCGGGCTTTTAAGACCAGGCACGATTCATCTCGATAAAAAAATTTAGATTGAATTATTCGATTCAGTTCATGTTGGTTCATATGAGGACTACTCCATTGGCTCTATTTATTTAAAAAATATTAAAAATGATTCTGGCGCAAGTGGTCCCTAACCTTTGCCTTCATGTATTTTGAGTCTTAACTTTTACGTTTCGGAAGACACTTTGAAACATATGCCTTTAAATGCTCAAATGGTCCTTTTGGATTCTTTCTGTTCAAAGCTGCCATTAGTTTTGGGTCATCATGGGGTAGTTATATTCACATCACACTTCTTGTTTACTACAACACATTTAGTTGCAATGACCGTTCCCAATCTTTACTCATTTTTACACTTATGTTCGTTACATTTGTCGCTCATTTCAGTGCATTGCAACATAATGCGCCATGGGGATAGAAAATATAAATTCAATGGAAAATAAAACAAACATATAGCAAAAAATATAAAAATACTAAAATTGTTCACCCAATTCAACAATCACATAATCGGGAGACTCAGGGATTAACCCAAACACTAAGTGCAACTAGAAACATTCAAACCAAGATTTAGTCATGGATTCACAGACGGATCTATTGAATAACAAATCCTAACCACGAATAACTCAAGAACCCTAATCACTCCACATATGATTTGAGTATTTATAAACATAAGCCAGACAACTAAGATTTATTTTTTTGCTGGCTTAATTTTGAATCATGATAAATTCTCAAAAATTATAAAAACTAAAACATGATATGATGGATGAATTCAGCCCGCGACACTCGTGTTTACATAGAAGACTGATTCAATTTTCTCAAGGAAAACAAAATTCAACATATTATAACTGTCGAGACATTTTCATCCACCAAAAACTATAAAAACAGAGGATTGTACTACATATACACAACAATTTACATAATGATTTACCAACAAATAATGTGGCGGAATTTAATTGGATCAAAATCTCATGAATCAAATAACTTTCCCACTTGCATTTTGACACATCATCATTATGTAAATTGTTATGTACGAGAAGCATTTTTCAAAAACAAGTGTCAATTTGATTTTGAGGAGGAGAGGGAGAAACAAGAAACACTAATGTTTGGGGTGAAATGTGTAAATATAAATGCTAATAATTGTGAGGGTGCAGCTTAGATTTAGGGTTACCCACGTGCGGTGGGATAAGTGAATGTAGACCACTAATCAGATTGAAAAGACATCTGCAATCTGCTGTGACTGTTAGATTTGACGCTTGACAAGATGTTACCTTACCTCCTATGCCCATATTTAGGCTTTTTATTTAACCTCATTTTAGGATCAAGTTACCTCGAACCGCGGGAGTGATAGCGGAAATAACTGTACACACACATGGAAGTCGAAATTTTTTAATTCGTGCGGATCCACTCGTCCCATATGAGGATGCGGTCATCCCCGTGATCATTGATGCAGTTCGAATGGCTTAATTCCTCATTTGACTTAATTCCATAACAATTTTTTAATGTTTTCCGTCAATCTTGAAGTAATATGTTATAGATTAAGTAGCATGAAGAGTGCCGCTCGAAAAGTGTATTTAGAAATATATAAATTTGATAATAATTCCCAAAAATTAGCATATTTCCTGCCTTACTCCTTTTGCACTGGTCTCTGCTCGTTGCTATAGAGATTCCACTTCACTTGATTCTCCGGGTTGTGGGTTCAAATCATAGCTTCACGATCTTTCTTTTTTTTTGGTAAAATTTAATAATAAACAAATGGAAAAAAGGGACCAACAACAACAAATGCATGTATAGACCCTGTTTTGGCTCCATTAAAAGTGAATTTTGGAAAAAACATATTTTGTAATAGTGATTTTTTGAGAATGTGTGGTTGAAAAATTTTGAGTTTAAGTATAATATTATTTTATTGGTGAATGTGTGCCTGAAAATAAGAAAAAAGGAAAATGATATATATATATTTTTTTAATGAAGCCCAAACAAGGCTATTTACAGTTCCATAAGAGTATTCTAACGGACAACAACATTAAAACAACAGACATAATACCAGACACCACCCAAATTGGACGCTTTTTTTATGGCAAGATTTTCTTGTTAAAGTTCTTGAATATTTTTAGCTCTTGTTTGAGCCTCATTTTTGTCATAAAAATATATTTATGAGAAGTATATTAATGCGAATATATAGTAAAAAAATAAGGAATAATTTTAAATTTACGTATAACGTTATTTTATTAAAGAATGTATAATTAAAATGATGTCAAAATAAAATTTATTTTACGAAGAATGAGACTGAAATAAGGGCATAATAACAGTATTTTAACTTGGGTAAAAACGTTTTCACTGATATGATTAAAAAGAAAAAGGTCCTGAAAACGAGAGTGAAAATTTCTACGTTGGTGATTTCCACAAGTTACATCCCATGCAGGATGAGGTTTGGACAATACCCAAAGAAACAAAAAGTGATCGATTGTAAAAAGTAACGTTGATTCTGATGCAGCACAAAACAAGGTAAAATTTCAACAGTTTCACTTCGCAAGGTAAATATATTATATACATACACACACCCATATAGAGAGAGAGAGAGAAAAGACAGGTCGAAGTGATATTCAAACTGTCATCACTTGCTCTACGTGGTGGTATATGCACCGGGCCCCAACCTGTCTCCTCCCACTCCATCACTTTCTTTTTTCTTTATAAATTTTCTCCATTCCCACTTCTTGTTTATGTGTGCTTCATTCAATTCACCACCCATTACTTTCTCCTCTATTGATCTTGAATTTCTCACAGCTTGGTCCAAGCATAATCATACCCACAAAACCAGTCTTTTTCTCAATATAACTTAGCAACAATTCTGATTCAGGCTTTCACACGTTGATTTCAACCATGAATTTCACAGAAAATATGATGTCAGGAGCCAGAAATAGTCAGTGTAATTCAAGCAACACTGGCAGTTCAATATCAGAAACCAGCATTAGCAGTCAACAACAACAACCACCACCACCACCACCTCCTCCACCACAACCAATATTGAGCCGCTACGAATCACAAAAGCGTCGCGACTGGAACACATTTGGGCAATATCTAAAGAACCACAAGCCACCACTAGTTCTCTCTCGGTGCAGCGGTGCACACATACTTGAATTCCTCAGATACTTGGACCAGTTTGGCAAGACTAAAGTCCATAACAATACATGTCCTTTCTATGGCCACCCTCACCCTCCAGCTTCATGTCCTTGTCCACTTAAACAGGCATGGGGCAGCCTCGATGCACTCATCGGCCGCCTCCGTGCGGCCTTCGAGGAGAACGGTGGACGGTCGGAGGTCAACCCCTTTGGTGCACGCGCCGTCCGTTTGTATCTGAGGGAGGTGAGGGACACTCAGGCTAAGGCTAGAGGAATTGCTTACGAAAAGAAGAAACGAAAGAAGCCACAGCAGAAACAAGAAACTCAAGTGATGTTGGAGGAATTAGATTGTAATCGTGTGAATTCAGTTGTGGCATCCAATGAAAATCTGGTCATGGGAGGTTCATCTGATGCTAGAAACTCCATGATTCCTTTATCTGTTCTTAATTAGTAGTAGTTTTAGCTTTTAGCAGGTAGTAATCAGCTTTATAGTTACAGTATTTAATACATGGGCTTAATGTAGAATATGGTCTTTATATGTGTCATCATGATGCATTCTCAAAAAATAGTTTGTATAATTTGTTTAATATAAAATTTGATTAATATGTAGCCTCAGTGGAGACTTATAGGATGGCCTCTAAGGTAATCGAGTTTTGAAGTCATTCTTGGCTGAATAAGGACCAAATTCTACTATGCACACACACTTCAATACAGAGAGATTATTATCTATATGATGCTGGTCATATGGATACTTTAAACATTTTAATTTCTAGACACTTTTTCAATTAAAATTTAAAACGTCTGAGAATCAAGAAGAAATAAAAAATACATACATATATATCATTTAACATTTGAAGCCGGTGGATATAGGTAGGTGTTTTTTCCTAATTCGATGGTGACCGTGGCTGCTATCGATCCTTGTACAGACAAGAGTTTTAAAGTTGAAGATTTCCATTTGTACAGAACAGTGTTTTACAAAATTCTGCCAGAAATCTCACATGTGTGGGACTCATGTTGTGATAAAAAATGCCAAAAAATTTGGCCAGCCACCCCCTGCCGTTTTTGTTTTGTATGGCTTCTATGTGTGCAGTTTCTGTACACACAGCAAGCTTCTTCAAAGTTTCCGTAATCATTTGATCGACCGAGGAAGCAATTGTCTAGAAACTGGTAAACGAAATTCACTTTGTAAAAATAGATAACTTCATTTATTTTCATCATTATTATATCACCAAGAGATTCTCTATTTTTAAAGAACATATTATATCACTTGGAGAGCATCTATAAATTTGCGGGATTAATATTTTGAAATATTCCAAGCTATTTATATTTATTACTCAAAAATATATGTATTATTTTTTTCTACCTTTTATTTTGACTAGTTTTCCTCCAGATTATTTTACTATTTTCCTGCACTGAAAATTGAAACACTTTGAATGCATTTAATTACAGAGAGTGAGTTTGATTCTCCAAATTTGCATATTCAAACTCGCTCTATAAATAAAAAATGTTAATTTAAAGAGTATATTGGAGCATGATTTTAATGGTTGACTCTTAAAAATAGAGAGCATCTCATGTTTATAGTATCTTTTGGAAATGCTCTTAAACCCTCGTCAATATATTCTAAAATATACAAATTGCCCCCACGAACTGATCTCAAAATTATTATCATGGATTACACCATATACAAGAATAATTTCCATTGGGCACATCAACATCGTGAGTCACTAGCAAAGACCAGAATACACATCGTAACATTTTATTCATAATTCACTTTACTTTCCACTAGTTAGTGATTTCAACAAGGAATTTTTCTTAGGATAAGATGGGGTTTAGCAAAGGAATATCCACGTATGCATACATGAGAGAATAAAGGCCATAAACACGATAATTTTCACAATTCTTATGTGCCAAAATTTGTGCTAGATAAAGCCTTAAGCTCTATTGGATCCAATTCTATTTATTCATTTCATTTCAATAATTCATTATCACCACTACTGAATGCATCATGAACCATTAATTTATCACACCCTATAGTTGACCAATTCGACAAATCATATGAAGCTATTAAGGAAAACAACTAAGCCTTACACTTTTTAAAGCCGGAACCGGAGAGCACCTTGAAGACGACATAGTCGAGACAGCACAACCTCATATGCCTAATGAATCTGGCTCGTGGGCATGCGTCGGTCGAGAATTAGAATTACATAATATGGTTGAGAATTGCCGACGGTTTCATCAAATAGTTGCATGAGATTTTTTTTAGCTCCATTTTAATGAGGTTTTAGAGAAAGTGTATTTCAGAATAGTATTTTTTTTTTCAGAGAACGTGTGATTAGATAGTAAGGAAAAGTTTTAAGTTTACGTACAATATTATGTTATTAATGAATGTATGGTTAAAAATGAAAAAAAAAATAAAATAAAAAATAGAGATGCATTATTGGGAGAGGCAGAGCAATTTTAAGATTTCCTTTGATCTTTAGGTGCATACTAACTTGAGATTTTTATTAGCCCAAACAAAAGGAGGAATTTTCAATTCAAACGATAATGAACCGAAATCAAGTCAATACAAGAAAAATAAAAATAAAAATAAATAAATTAGACATTAAAGATACATAAGTTCAAATGTCGAAGTCAAGCATAATAGATGTAGACATGATAATTATCTAACAAGTTCAAGTCGGCTAATTTAATGATATTCAAACTTAATGTATAATATGCATTTAGCCTTTGTTTGTCAACTATTCTACGGTTTACCACATTATTTTTTTTTATAGTACTCATTTTTAATCATACATTTTTCATTAAAATAGTATTACACATAAATAAATAAATAAATAATCATTCTTTTTTAACCATATATTTCAACATCAATTACTATTTCATAATACACATTTTAAAATTAAATGGGTACAAACAGGCCCTTAGTTAAATATCTTTGAATGCGAGTACAAAAGGAGGATCCAATAGAAAGACATGCTAGAAGATTTTAGATTTGTTTTACAGTTAGGTGAAAAGAATGTCTCTTTCATAGGTGAGGATTTAACCTTTCAAAAGAAATTGACATTTTGAAAAGAGCGTGGTATTTGATTCAACCTTCAAAAAAAGTAGGCTTGTCGACTAGTCCTAAATAATAATATGGCCGCTAAGCCTTCAAGAAGCTTGATTGCATTAAATCAGGACATGAGATTGTTATAGTGTATAATCAAATACAAGATTAAGCCTTATTCAAACAATTAAATGAATGAACATGGATGTAGAAAATTATGAGAAATAGATTAAACTCATAACATAATAATAAGGATACGATCAAATTTCCATTACCACGAAGAAATCGTCTTCTGCTTAAAAGGCAATAGATTCACTTTTAGTAAAAGCAGGGGACGGACAAGAATAACAAATTAATGTCGTCGATTCATGCTACTTTGTTCTTAACAATCGTATTTTAAAATAAACTGTTCCATGTTTGGTAATGATTAAAATTAGATTTTTAGAAGCATTTGATAGACGTTGATGAAATCTGTGGTTGAAAAAGTTGTGTAGCCTATAAATATGTGATTAGAATTAATTATTGATTTAGATTTAGATTTTAATCGATACCGAACAGGAAGCAAAAAATATAACGTCATTAGTGGAGAATGAAAATGGGTCTCGAGGAAATAATTTTTTTAGATATCAGGAGTCATCAAATGTCAAATGTTTCAATTGCCAAATACCTTTATCGGGGATAAATGGAGATCCCTTCATACTCGATCTAAAGCCCTCCAAACACAGTATCATATTTCATAATCAACATAAAAGGAATTTCTAATCGAGAAGTTATGAGGATGTTGTAGAATTTTACATTTGCTCTCAACAAATCTTAAGAGGCATGACACATTTATAAGAATTTCCACAAGAAATAAGTATCGATAAATAATTGAAAGTCTCTATATCCGTTATTATACTCCTCGTTAGATCTCCTTCATTTGAGAAGGAAGATCAAAAGAAAGTTGCAACTGCGGTCCCTAACTTTTTCATTTTTTGCATACTTTAATCTAACCTTCAATTTGTGTCAGTGGAGGATCTTTCATAAATATGCACATGTGATCCATCTGGACGAAAATCGTCCAAAACACCGCCAATTGATCGGAAAAATTATGGAATTAACATCCAATAAAATCGTCGCGGTAGCAAATAGTTCAAAGAATTTTCTCGATTAACTCATGATATTTTGGACAGTTTTCGTCCAGATGGACCTCAAATGCATATTTATAAAAAGTTAGGGACATTCGTTAACACAAAATAAATGTTAAGATAAATGCCTACAAAAAAAAAAAATGTTAAGGACCGCTACTACAATTTTTCCTATAACAATATTAGTGCATCTTTGAAACCCATTAAAATCCAAAAAACTCATTTTCAATTCAAATTATATGGACCCGCATACGGTGAAATGGCTGAAAATGCAGTTTTGTAATTGACTTTCCCACATCCTATTTTTTAGGTTCATTTTACATTCCATATCTACAATGCAGTGTTTAAAGGGATTTGGGGGGAATGAATGCTAGGCTAGATTCATAATTTCAACTCAAATATTGAGCATCATGATTTACACTTCAACACATGATGTCATTCAATTGAACTGTTAAAAAAAATAGTTTTTTCAACCAATTATTTGTTGAAAACACAACAAATGTCAACAACAATACATTAAATTAGTGTACAAATGACTTCCCCGAAAAGGATAAAAATATTGGGATAGTACAAGGGACCTAATTGTGGGGCGCCGAGTACGTGGCCCTATTCGTCGAGCTATGGTCCTACCCAAAAACCAATTACAACGCCTGTTTGAATCAGGATTTCCACCAAATGTCCTTTCTTGCAGGAATTTTTTACGATAAAGTAATGTTGAAAAATTTGAACTCATTAATGAAGAGGATCATCCCACAATTTATTATAGACTTCTATAGTTTTTCTAAGTTGAACTGCCATATTGCCATGTACGACAAACAAAGACATACAAAACAATTATTCAACAAATATCACATATAAACAAAATGATAACTTGGTTGGCGTTACTCCACGTGACAACCGGATATCCGTACATTGGGGAGTCTACAAAAGCATCCAAACCGGAGCGTTGATAACATTTTTTTAACGTTCCAAACTAGAAATTGATTTTTATGTGTTTACAAAAATTTATTACCAATGGGGGCGGAGCCAGCTTTTTCATTCAGTGCGAGCACAATTTTATCAACGCTGAATGTCGAGTTTTGATCATGGATTTAATGATAATAAAATATAAAACAATATTACAAAAAAGAAATCAAAATAACAAAAAATAAGGAAAATTTTTCGAAATCGGGGTGGGGGGATTAGGGAACCGGAGCTTCACCTTCTTCTTCTGCTACAGCCAGTTGCCAAAGAATAGGAAGCGGAGATTGAGCGGCGCTACGACTGGGTGGGAGGAGTAGGTAGTGGAAGTGCAATGGAGCAGGAGGAAGAAGTGGGAGTATGGGTAATGGGTTGAAATGAATTAAATTTGAATGGGGAATGGATTA